AGACTGGGGCTTGGGTTGGGGCCGCCTTCCCCCTCCCTTTGCCCTTTCCGGTCTTCTGGGGCGGGGGCGCTGATGACTGCCCAGCCACCCTAGCTGCTGGCTGGGCTGTTAGGCCCGCCCTGGCAGCGGCCGCATAGGTTGCCCTTGGCGGAGCCAGAGGTGGGCGACAACGGGCGCTCTCTATTGCGGAGATGCGCCTCATTATACGCTCCTCCATCTCCGCCACGAGTCGGACTAAGTCCGGCTCCTTACGGGCGGACAACGCCACAGGTGCCGAAGACGCTGGTGTGGCACCAGCGTGGGCACGAGCCTTGGCGAGATCCGCCTCGAGGCGGGCTCTCTCCCTAGCGTGGGCCCTGCTCTCGGCCACAAGGAGTCTGCCCGCCTCGATTATGGAGCGCACGACCGCTACCAGGGCCTCCTGTTGGGGGCCCCCCGGCCACACCGGACGTCTGAAGCAAGGAATCGGCCGCGCCGATTGCCTCCTCGATCCGGTCGACGGGGTTGCCGGTTTTGCCTCGTAGCTCAACGAGGCCAGCACCCCCACCCCCGCTCCCCACATCAGTGGTCGACATCTCGGACGCGACCCCCTCCTGTTTGCTCCGTCCAAGACCCCCATCTTCGGCTCCTCCCAGAGCCGCGGACTGGACCGCCACCTTCTTTCGGGCCACCATGGCCTTGGGGAGTCGGCCTCCGCCGCGAGCGCCTCTGCGGCTTGTGCCGACGTTGGGAGCCGAGGCTTCATCGCTCGCGGCCGACTCCAATTGCCTCTTCAGGCCCAGGCGAAGCGAGCGCCTTTTGCGCTTTGGAGTACCCTTCTGGTGCTGCTCCACAGCTGAGACCATAGGGGTACTCGCTCCGCTCCTCTCCGAGGCAGTGTCGGTGTTCGACACTACCTCCAGGTTTCTCGCGTCCTCCGCGATAACGTCGCCGGATTTACTGCTCGGCGACGGGCAGGTTTGACAGTTGGTGCTCCCCCCAGAATACGAGTGGGAGCTGCCGGAGCCGTTTGGCTCCGGGAGGGATTCCCCAGACACTGTGTGCCCGGTACCCTCCTGGGTAGATTTCTCTATGGTTGGCCTCATGTCATTTTTAAGTTTTACGTCCTTCGACGGGGACGCCTTCGGCACTGGACTCCCTCCAGCGACTCAGCCCCTTGCCAGGCGTCAGAACGTGGGCTTAGAGCATTTTTTATAGAGGTTTACGTCCTCGCGGATCCGAAGATCCACCGGTCCTGTCCATTCAGGATTACGGCTGGGCCGGACGGGGTCTGCACCAGACCGGGTCCGTCCGCCCCAGGGTTTTTTATAGAGGTTGCCTTTCTCGTAGCCCTCGAAGAGCCGTCATTCCTGACTGTTGCCAGTCAGGGTTACGACATGGCCGGACGGTGGTCTGCGTCAGACCAGTGTCCACCACCTCTGGACAGAGCCAGCGGCAGTGGACCCGTCCGCCCCCAGCCCGCTCTCCCCTATGCCCTCTGCCAAACAGAGGGACATGCGGAAAGCAGCCCTCCGAACAGCCCTTGACAGGCCGTTCCCACCTCGGCCGGAATTGGCCGCAGGCGGCAGCGCCTCTCCCACCTAGGGAGAGAGGCGCTGCCGTCCCCGTTGCCCAGGGTGCACCACAAGGAGGTTCCGGACCACGCACCCCGCAGTAAAGGCCTGGGCTTACTTATCGACTCAACCCTCCATTCGCGAGCTCAAGTTACTAGCGTGAGCCAGAAATTTACGGGCAATTTGCGAACATTCACCTTCCTTCTAAAACTAAAACCACACTCATGCAGTCCTTAATAATCCCAATAATTGACTATGGTGATGTGTGTTATTTCAACCTGAATACAGATCTTCTTAATAAGCTCGACCGTCTTCTTAATAACTGCATTCGATACATTTTCAATCTTCGGAAGTATGACCATGTATGACCTCTTCACTTGCGCCGCAAACAGCGTGCACTTACCTCTCAATTTTCATTTCTCAACTCACCTTCCTCACTTACTTACCTTGCTAACTACTGCCGTTACCTGTCTACTAATCAAGACAGAAATCTTCGCTCAGTTAATAATCTGCTTCTCTCATGTCCCCTACACAACTCCGACTTCGTGAGCTCTTCGTTCTTTGTTCAAGCAGTATTACTCTGGAATGCACTCCCGCTCGAAGTCTGGATGTCCACAAACCGCTTTATTTTCAAAAAGATCAAGACATGATCTCCTTCTTAACGAAATGGCAGAACCTCGAAATCGATAGGATACCTCATATTTCGGTATTCATTGTGTGCGAATATAATATGTCTATGTATCTATATAAATATAATTAAATATATATGTATGTGTATGATTGTATATGTATGTATTTATGATGTGTTGTGTTATATAATATATATATATAGGTATTTATAAGTTTGTTTTTTTTTGTTTGTTTGTTCATTACATATATGTATGTCATTAATTACTTAATTTATTAAGACGTAACCTCTGTACCTACCTACCTACCTTACAAGATTTCTACACCACCCAAAGGTTGACTGGAAGAGAATGCCCTTGGCATTAAGTCCGCCGATGTACAAAAGTGCATAAAGTTAACAAACAATGACATCAATCCAATTGAGAATAAATACGTAAGCTACAGCATAAATAATATAATACAGTCTTATATAGATCCCAGTTGTCACAGTATTTTGAGAAAAAAAACATGCGGTGAAATATCGCTGTGCGTGTGCGGATGGGCCCAAAATAATAGGTCTATCCGTCTATCCTATCTAATCTAACCGAACAAAGTTAGAGATTTTTAAAACCAGTATTTTCAAATTTATTTATCTGTGGATGGGCGCGCTATTTGAAATTCAACTAGATTTTCTTAGAAAGACGTTATTAGCCATTAAATTTATAATTCAGTCATTTGTTTTAAAAAGTTTGGTTTTGTGGTAATTCTTAGTACCGTGGATAAATTGAAAATTCGTACAATTTTCGAATATGAGTTCTTACGTAGAAATACCGCTACGCAAACAAGATGAAACATTAACGACGTGTACGGTCCTAACACTGCTTGCATGAACACGGTCCATTATTGGTTCAATCGTTTTATCTGAAATTTTGATTTGAAGTACGAGCCTCGCGTTCGGCCGGTAACTACACAGCGACGCATTGAAGGCGATAGTGGAAACGGATCCAACCCAATCTACGGATGACCTTGCTGCGGGCTTTAGAGTTAATGTCAAAACAACATCGAAGCACTTGCGTCAAATCGGAAAGATCAAAAAGCTAGATAAGTGGGTGCCACACGAACTAAGAGACCATCAGCGAGACTTATACCATGCATAGCACTACTGAATCGGTATAGAAACAAGGGAATTGTGAATCGAATTGTTACCTTTAAAATTTTTCGTACAAATCTCCAACTCCATAGGTAAAGACCTAATATTATGGGCCAAGTGTTAAGTGTTCTGTGGGTCGAAGACTAACAGGCGGGATGTAAGTGAAGTGAAAAATTATTTCAAGATTTATTTTTATCTAAGTAAGGCTTTTCCGCTGGACACAGGTATTCTTAAATTATAGTTAAACTGCCGTAAGCTTGGCCCTCTTGATGGTTTACGGGACGCGGGGCGGGTGATGCGCTCGGCTATATACGATGTAATAATAATCTCAAACAAATAAATCTGAAGATATCGAGTTAGATATCTTCAGATTTATTTGTTTGAGATTTAATCTACACACGCTGTAATAAAAATCGAATTTATTACCATGTATTATAATTTCAGTATATTTATTTGTTAATAATTAAGTATATTTATAAATTGTAAAATTTGAATACCTTTACTTGTTAAATATAATTTTAATAAAATAAACTTATCTTTATCATGTAAATTATATTCAGATACAATTTAAAATGAAGTAAAATAATAAATACTGTTTATTAAAACTTTTACAGTAGATCCTCTGTAAGCCAAACTTCAGGGTAGACGCGAAATAATTCGAGTTATAGAGTTTTAGACTTATTGAATATATAATTCGTAGGAGGTATTTGAATTAGGCGGATTTTGTAAGGAAATATTCGACTTGTAAATGTTTAGATTCTTTCTTTGACCATTTTCAATTTTTTTTCATGTATGATTCGTTTTTTTAATATTGTTAACAAAGTAATTACACATCGGTAGGCTTATTTTATATGGTTGGTATAGGTTTTTTTTCGAGTTTCTTCTCTTTGCACTGCTGTTGTCCTGCGTTGTTTGCTCCCTTAGTCGGCTCTTACGACACCCACGGGACGAATAGGGGTGGTGAGTCTTAATCCGTCACTACACGGACAAACGACAACTTCTACTGTATATTACGAGTAGTATATATAATCAAGTAACTTAAAATAATAAAAAAAACAAAAGGAAACGTTTATGAAAAATAGGTTCTATTTTTTTTTTGTGACCCAGAGTCGGCAGATAATCCATGTTGAAAAATAATACCGTGTGCTTAAGAAAAATAACACTTACAGCCATGCTTTAACGTCAGTCACTGCCACCGGACAGCGACACACTAGCTAATTGGTTGACGTACCTCCGCTCCGCGTCCCGCAAACCATCAGGAGGGCCAAGCTTACGGCGGTTTGACGTTTTATAAGAACAACTAACTGAATGTTGTAAACATTAAAGTAATTTAATGTTTAAATTTTATATAGCTTTTGCGAGAAATAATAAACACCTTGGCACTATTTACTTTTAATACAGCAAATTAATTTCGATAAAGGTACCAAGGAACTTAAATGCTAATTCTCCAAGATTAGCAGACAACACGTTTAATGAGATTACTAGGCAACAAGTTTTAAAGTATATCATAAACAGTAAAAAACCTGATATGAGAATTTATAACAATAATTTTATTCTTACATCTGATTATAACAGTAAACAGTATAACAATCTTATAAAACATATATTCTCTTTAGTAATTTGATTAATATGCAATAATATTGGATGTATCAAGATTCTGTGGGATATCCGAATACATATTTAGAAATATATTATTTGGGATCAATTTCATGTAATTTATCCGGACTAAAAACGCCTTTTTCTGTGATGATTCCGGTTATTAAAGAAGCGGGTGTGACGTCAAAGGACGGATTCCAACAGCTTATTCCTGAAACAGAAGAGACCGTCATAATATTTACAAAATGTCCTTTACATTTACAAAGTGTCTTGTCCACAGAGATCAAACATCCCTGAATCGTAAATAAAATGGTGTGTGACCATTCGTGCGCCACACATACATCAATCTCGAGCGCTCAACGCGGACTACAATTTGCTGTGTGCTTTGCTGCGCCTAGTCGCGTTAGTTTTATCTTTTTTGGGGACTCCCCGTACTTTGGTCTAAAAAGGTCTACCGATGTCTTTGGTCGTTCGAGGGACTTTTCGTACGCGATACTTTTAAGCCGCTATGTCATTTCTCAGAACAGTTTTAAGTTTGGAGAACGAAGAAGTACGCCGGGGAATGTCTCTCGTCTGCGCATGCCCAACGTGACTTTGCATAAGTGACTATTTAATTATTGTTGCAAAACTAAACCGTAATTATTGTATAAATGTTTTATAAATGTTACTGCTTTATTTGGTACTTAGTACTTTTGTAGCGTTCTTTGATTTGCAGTTTAAGAACCTCCGTTTGTGCTCGTCTTCCGATATACGGATATATTGTATAAGGGACGTAAAATTCTGTAATTTTAATACAAAATGGCAGTTTGTGCAATTATAGGGTGCCACAGTACATCGGAAAAGCATAAAAAAAATTGTAACATAACATTCCACGTGTAAGTATTACATTTATTCCAATATTTTGATGTAAAACATTTTTCAAAGCAAAATAAAAACATTATGTGACACCATTTTGACCAAATGTTGCAAGTTAAGTTAAAATGGTTGCCTAAATTTTATGTTCTAAAATAAAAAAAAATGCTTATTGTATAGGTTGGTAATGTAATTCTGGAAGCCTTGGCACAGAATGGCCAGTATTGATAAAATAAATTTGATTATAATTCCGTGGAATAGTCAAATTTAATGCACTTAAGACTATACTTTAGTTTTACTGGATAGGTGTCGTCTATTAATCATGTGATGTTTTTAGCAACTTTTTCAGAAACCAAATATTGTTTTATATCATTAGAATATACATATTTAATAGGTTATTGATAAATCATAGCTATTTAATACTAGAAAATTACAGTACAGTTTGTAGAAGATGTAATCTATGTCGGTACACTATAATAACTTTAAAACGATCTCTGCTATTTAACTTTTTTAATGTTTCGTTGTGTAAGTATATATATATTACTTATTTCAGATTTTCATCCATAATATTAAAAAAGAAATCCCTTTTTGCGAGTGCAGAAATCTCCAAGGATTTAAGGAAGTATCAATTCCAATTTCCCTACTTTTGGGGAAAATCTGATTCCGATAGCAACATTACTTGTACGCTAATGTGCGTGTCGCCGAGCGTAAATACGCGCGACCAACGCCTATGGTGTTTTTGCCACAAACGTTATTATTTTAAGGTTTTCGCAATATAAAGTTGAGTTTTAAAAAGAAAGTTTTATCTTCGAACGTGTTGTGACAGTTAATTAAATTATTAATTGATTTAATTATAAGTTATAGTTGTTAATTCATAAAATTTATAAAAAAATTCGGCGCGCCCTAGAAAATATTTAAGTCTTAAAGTGAGTAGTACACAGATTAAGTTTGAACTAGAGATTACGATTACCGATATCAGTAGTATATAGTACTAGCTGGTACCAGCGACTTCGTTCGCGTGGAATTTGAAAAGCCCTGCTTTAGTGGGTTCGATTCCCGGACCGGGAAATTTTTTATAGGGTTTTCCTGCGAGAACAAATAGCCTAAGTTACTCCTTGTATAGACAGCTAACTGGTAGTAAAATATAATCAAAATCGGTCCAGCCGTTTAAAAGATTACCAGGAACAAACACGACACACAAAAAAAAAAAAACTGGTTTTTAGCAATACTGTACGAGCCAATAATGCTCATACAGCTATTTTAGTTTCTTTTTATACAGTAGTACTTCATTATTTTATTCAGTCGTAACAACAACTCCGTCACGCGTGCTAGTATCAGTATTTCATAACATAACGTACTACTCAGATTACTCAACATAGCCTAACTTTTACTCACAAATAAAAATAACTCTGTCTTAAACTGGTTTGGTTTGAACTATACGAATAGTATATTCGGCAGTATACCGAATACCGAATATTCGGCGAGGCCCCTGACCGAATAGCCGAATATTAGGCAAAAGTATTCGGCTGGATTTTAGCCCCAAAAACTTGTACAGACGTGAATTAAATTATGTACCGGTTTTATGTACCAATGACTAATTAATAAATGATTATAAAAGAAATAAGAACCTTACCCTTCTAAATTTTGATTACCACAATTATTCAAATACATAAAATCCTCCATTTTTCCAATTCAGAAGATGATTATGTACCTGTGTTATGCACCAATGACTACTTAAATGATTATCACAGAAATGAAAATATGAATATATATGTAATCAATCGATTTTAATTTTTCATTTTACCAATTATTTCTCAATGACAAAATATATTATTTAAGTATTCGGTATTCGGCCGAATAATATGTAGATATTCGGTATTCGGCCGAATATAATAAAAGCAGCCGAATAGGCCGAATACCGAATAGTAACCGAATATTCGTTGCAAGTCTAGTTTGAACTATTTACCTACAACCACAACTACCAACTACCGCCACATACCTATGACTAAAAACCAGTTAATTTTTTTTTGTCGTGCAAATAAACCGCGTGAGCATGAAAAAAACCTATTATTTTGACATTACAAACAGACACTTCAATTTTATTTATTTGTATAGATAGGCAATAATTAGGCAAACACTAGGAGTTTTAAGTATTTCTACTACAATTTTCTACATACCAGGGGCTGCAATTCTGTGTTCTCCTACATGCGTCATTTCTTTTTCTGGCCTTTCTTCAATTTTAATTTTTTCACCTGAAGTAAGATCTTTATCTATAGAAGTTAGAGGAGCAGCTACATAGAAAGGCACAGCGTGGTGTTTGGCAGCAATAGCTATTTGGTACGTTCCTATTTTGTTTGCTGTGTCGCCATTAGCAGCAACCTGCAAATAAGTAGTTATTCTTTTAAATCATCGACACTTTCACTTGTAATGGAATCTCAAAACTTGATTTTCCCCTACTTTCAGTTGTCTGACGATTAATACATAAAACAATGTGCATATAGAAATTAGACATGGGCGTAGTTACCAAAGCAGCATGCTCCCGATTTGTGTCTATTGGTAAAATGGCTTTTGTAGTTTAACTTCAGGATTTTACAAGTCCCACCTGCATTTAGAACTTGGTATAATTTATTATTTACAGGAATTAACGATCAATATCAGTATGGCCACTTTTAAATCCTCAACTCCTTGGAACTCGAAAGGTCACAAAACAGTAGAGTAGCTATGTATGATAATAAAAGTGGCTAGGATTTTCATAAAACAATTTGATGTGTAAAAACGAAGTTCATGATATTTCTTACCCTATCCGCACCTACTACTACAGCAGTTATTCTTCTCGAGTTCATAAGCGCAGAAACAACACTGTCAATAATCAATGTTGAAGGAATTTTCTCATGTACCAACTCATAAGCAGTGAGCCTCGCACCCTGATTATATGGCCTAGTCTCTGTGCAGTATACATGTTCTGTAAACAATCAGAAACATGATTAGTAGTTGATGACTTATGTAAAGAAATTTACAGCTAAATTGCTGGGGTAGGTACCCCAGTACCTCCCCTCCGGGTTGGGCGTTATTTGTTACGCCGATGACACGCTAGTTACAGCCCGGGGGGCAGACTTTCAAGAGGCTGCGCCCTAGCCACCAGAGGAGTCTCTCTGGTGGTCGGGCGTATTGAGGCGCTGGGCTTACGGGTGGCCCTGGATAACACGGAGGCCCTATTGTTCCATGGACCCGTCGTGGTCCGCCCCCCGGCGCCGATGGACTCGATCCTAGTACACCCGGTGGTTTTTTCAAAAGAAATAGTTTTTTTTTTTTCACAATATTAAAAAAATACACTTACTATCAGTACTTTTACATCAGTGTACATACGTAAATAATTCTGAGTAAACATACAAATTTGCAGTTAAGACAAACTATCTGAGGATTTATTACTGTTACTATTTTACTTTCTAGTCTCATTTTATAGCGTCGATTGTCATGGAGTGACCTAGGCATTTTAGAAAAATGATGGAGTAAATGTAACAAAGTTTACAGACTTAATAAAATTGATGATATGTCGTATTTAAATGATCGGAATCGCAACTGCTAGTTGATAAAAAATATTATGTAGGTACCTGTATTTGCAATAGTAAAATATATGAAATGATATTTTTTTACTTAGGATAAGACGGTGTTGATGTTACAGAAGTCTATATAATAAAAGTGGTATGGTATGTAGTAGTGAGTAATAACTAAGAGGCTAATAATGTACGACTTGCTATATAGGATGATATATAGCAAGTCGTACATGACACTTCATATATTTAGCATACCCAGCTTTTTTGTTTCATGTAACGACCTAATAACTCCCAATGCTGTGCCATAGCCTGCCGTTGCCAACGAGCCCGTGTTGCAATGTGTGAGAATTCTAACAGGGCCATCACCATTCATATTTTTTAAGATGGCCTCACTTCCATACTTTCCTATTGCTTTATTGTCTTCAATATCTTTCGTTAACATTTCTTCTATATTACTGATGAACCTGAAGCCATAAAAGAACATTAAATTTACTAGACATGGGACAAAATCACTGAACTGTGATTTATCATTCGATTTTTTGCGTACGGAGGTTAGGGTTGCTAGGTAGGTAGGTTAGACGCTATTTAACAGTAATTTTTTAATAATTATTTAGGGAATGGTAACTATGTATAATGAAATAATTACTAGATTTACTATTAAATAGGCGAAATAGGGTCGCTACTACTATTAAGCTACTATTAAATAGACGATGCATAAAGATATGCATCGTCTGAAAACCGCTTATTGGCAACAACGCGTGAGTAAGTAGTAACCTTAACCTACGTACGAAAAAATCGAATGATAAGTCACCATTCATTCACAGTTCACTGTGATTTTGTTCCATGTATAAACATTACAGTAATAAGAAGAAAAAATGATATTTAAAACTTGAAAGGCAATGAAATAAATAGATAAAAATATTGTGTAACTAGTCAGTGAAGTTTAGAATGTCAGTTCAGTTAGATGCTAGTATTTGAAAAATTAAAAGTTAAATGAGTTTAAAAATAATTAAGTATAGATAATTAATTTTAACTCATTTTAACATAAAAGGTTTTCCCTTATCTATATACATAATGGCTAAAATGAAATTAAAAATCCAGTGTACCTACCAGTAGTATACCTAGTCTCTTAGATAATTGCATATGTTCATTGATAGCTATTTGTACAATGTATGTGTTACCGGCAATCTTATAATACGGTATTCTATACAATACCTAGGCAATGTATAGAATACCCAAGGCGTCTAGGCAATTTATGATATATTTTTTATTTTATACTTGGCCTAGAATGCTATACAATACCGAATACGTTAAAAGACGTTCAAAATTGTTCTGGGTTAGGTTAGGTTTTGTTTTTTTAACAAAACCTAACCTAACCCAGAATAAATTTAAGTTCAATGTTATTTGATTGTGATTTAACTATAAATACCTACTTTTGAGTAAAGATTGTTTTTTAATCAGAACTAACTACTTACTAATTGTTAATTTCAATAAAGTTGATATTAAGCAAATCTAATGTGTTATTTTTGTGTCATTTTATACCTTCCCATTTACTTACTTACATAACATTCATAAATACAGGTCGAAATATAGTTATTTTACACATTGCCGGTGTATCAACGGGTACTCTATACAATACCCAGGAATTGTATACATTACCTCGGTAAAGAACATAATATTTCATACATTACCTAGACGCCTTAGGTATTCTATACATTACCTAGGTATTGTATAGAATACCTAAATTATACAGATTGCCGGTAACATATGTATGTATAATATGTAAGTTAACATTTATGAAAAAGGACTTTTACCTTGTACTAAGAAATGGTTATCTATTTACATGAGGTCTGGGTATATTCTCTCTTATTGTCTAAATGTGGATCACACTGTATTATGTTATTATTACTATGAAGAAAGAATTAAACTAAAATAATATTAGAAGGTATATTATACAAATAGGGTTCAGTGCTAATACTCAATTTGACATTTTCAGTACTCACTTATCTTTAAATTCCTCAGGTGATACTGACTCGTCAGCACACAAGGAATTTGCTAAATTTATCAGTTCATCTGCTGCTAGTTTTATGTTTACAGCTGTTGGCCTTGCCGACACAAGGTAATTAAGTTTACCTTCAATCTGTAATTATCAGAAACATTGCCAATTTCAAATGTATACTTCAATTATATGGGTGGGAGTTGGGCCCTAAATAAGTATTGTTCCCCCCACTCCCTAGTATGTACACACTCAGCGAAAAGCAATGACAGAAATGCTTATCACTGGTTTTCTGTAAGGTCATGGTATGTCTTCAGTTGAGCCAGCTCATTTTATTATGTTCCAAAGCATAGCTCACTTACTTCACAAATCCTTTACAAGTCAGTAAATTGTAATATGTATAAACTATCAATAGAATATTATTACAAGTCAGTTGATAACATTCTTATCTACTAGAATTACTAATGTGATATTTCAAAGTGTTTTATCATTTGAAAGGTTACAAACTGACCTCTTGCCGCATGAACTTTTTGTCTGAGTTATTGTCTCTCTCTAGTTCGACAGCTAGAGATAAACAGCCCACTATGGCTATGGCAGGGGCACCTCGGACCTGAAATTTGATAGGATTAAAAATAAATAATAAACAAATAAATCAAAATAGCATGTACAATGTGTACCTCTATCACAAATAAGTTTATTTAAAAGAATATTTGAAAAGGAGCTTTAAAAATATTTCTATTTTGTAATTTATACTAATATTATAAAGCTGCAGTTTGTTGGTTGAATGCACTAAACTGAGTAACTACTGGTTCAAATTGTTCAAATTTTTAAATAATCCAATTAAGGAGGAAGGTTATAATTTATACCAATAAGTAAGCCATATAAGTAAAGCATCAATAGTAAATTTGCATAAATGGGGCAAATTTATTTCTTTTAAGAGATGTAGAAGATGTTGCACTCGTCAGCTAGTCATAGTTATATAAAACTTGATTGTATAAAATGTTTACTGCCTTCCAGGTAGTGTAACACTAAACATGTATATGGTTACAGTTAAAATAAAAACTTATTAAAACCATATTTTCTCGAAGACGGTTAATTACTGTTTTTGAAAATTTACATTTTATACCTGCATTTTATTGATAACTTTCCATCCATCTTCAACACCTTTTACTTTAACGTATCTTGTCTGTAGAGGTAGAAGTAATTGATCTAATATTTCTAGATTACCTCTTTTATATTTTATAGATTCTAAGCTCATATTGTTCTGCAAAAATAGGAAGTCCAGAAAAAATTTATTTAAAATATATATATACACAAAAAACGTACAAATAATGAATCTATATAAGTTGTGTAAAAACTTTAAATATGGACTACTGACTTACTAAAAGTTAGTAGATAATACTATATAGTAATTTTAACTGATTTAACGTTAATATTTCCACTGTGCAAATTCAATACTGAAAATTTAAATGTCAATGTCATCAAACTTCAAAGTCACAGCCATTGGCCGGCAGTACAATGTATTCGATTCGATGTAGTTGACTCGCTTGCCATAAGCAAAAAAGAAGACTGTAAAACATGCATCTTGAGCTTAGTTAATCTCGCAAGTCGCAACATCAGAATGGTTTTGATGTTGAGTCTAGAATAAATTACAAAAACGTTAGAATAGGTTTTATGTCTTAGTTACTTAATAATATTAGTACAGATTGATTCTGATACAGTAATATATTTTTGAGTTGGGTGACCTAGTAAACTATTTCTTTCTAGCAATGATTTCTCAGGCCACATTTAATACAGATTGATAATTATTGCTTAAAAACTTAAAAGAAAATAAAAAAAAATATGGTTTAAAAACTTAAGAAGTTGCCAAACTTTCTTTCAAAAACTGTATTCCAGTTTATGTGGAAATGAGAGTAGTTAAGAAAATTCAAAAATATTTAATTTTACCGGCAACAATATATTACGTACTCTTCAGATACTATATGTTAAAATTTAACATTACTAAATGGAAATTACATTACTGTTTGCAAAATACTTGTGATAGTTGTTTACCACATTCAATTTGCACATGGATTAACCTAAACAAAATTTCTTTACATCTCCATTGATTCGAATATTTGTTATCTTTGTGATCTTAAGGTAAAAAGTTTTGTGATTTTACCTTAAGATCACTATGTAGCCTCCATTAGTGTTAAAGTATCAAAATTTAAAGAACTGGGTTAAAAAAAAATCAAAGAACCTTTAAAATTCTAGATGTTTCATGCTTTTGAACGTTTAAGGATGTGACGTTTAAATTTGTCTATGCTAGCTACATTCTGTTTCCGCCCGGCATTGAAACGAGACGCATCGTCATTGTGGTGGTTTAACGCTAGTTTGCTAGTGACTATTTAAAAAGCATCATGGCTGCTTTACCGCGAGTTTTCTTCGATGTTTCTGCTGACGGTTCAAAGTTGGGGAGAATCGTTGTTGAGGTAACGCTAGATTAAATTCTTATCAACTTTACTTGACACCGGTTGCCCGGCCGGCGTGATATAGCAAAAACCACGCTTCCAAACCTTGTGTTATCCGTCTGTGTTTTAACATCTCATTATTAATCAAAACCATTAAACTTTCTGTCAAATATTACCTATGCGGTGCTTAATTACGATACTTATATGATTTAAAAAATATGTCTATGTAGTAATTGTCCAATAAGATTACCTATGTGAAGGTCAAATCTTAAAGCTATAGATAATTATGAATCGAACGGAATTTGCCACTGTCAGGATGTTTGTTTATTTGCGATGACTATGTAGCTTCTTAAATCAAGTGATATGTTTTCAGTGAGCCGTATAAGCGATTTAGTACATTCACTTGTACTTGTTTGGTGATTACATTACTCATTCGCTATAAACAGCTCTTATGACACACCCCATGGAAATAAAACTGTCACATTGACTTACAGGATAATAACTTAAAACAGATTGCACTCTATAACAACTGTTTTCAAATTGTTACAGCTAAGAACAGATGTCACACCTAAGACATGTGAAAACTTCCGCGCCCTGTGTGTCGGCGATAAGGGTTTCGGCTACAAGGGCTCCACCTTCCATCGTGTCATCCCCAACTTCATGTTGCAAGGTGGTGACTTCACGAACCATAATGGCACCGGTGGCAAATCTATCTATGGCGAGAAGTTCGCCGACGAGAACTTCATCCTGAAGCACACAGGTCCTGGTGTTCTCTCCATGGCTAATGCTGGCCCCAACACCAATGGGTCCCAGTTCTTCATCACCACTGTGAAGACTTCCTGGTTGGATGGCCGGCATGTTGTGTTTGGGACTGTTGTAGAAGGCATGGATATTGTCAAGCAAGTTGAAGCCTTTGGCTCCCAGTCGGGCAAACCCTCAAAGAAAATTATTATTTCTGAATGTGGACAACTTTCTTAATTCTATAAATTTATAAAGTATAACATAATATTTTTTAAGTTTAATACTATGTCCTCCCAAGTAATACCTTCCCAGTCTTCAAGAGATGCAATTTATTATGGGTCATTCCAATTATGATAAAACTTATTGCTATGTTTTAGGTTGCAAACTAGCAATAGCATTTATTTCTGTGCATTGTTTATTCATAATAAATTAACTTATATAATAAATTAGTATTTTGAATTTCCCCTAATAAAGCCATTACATAGTACTTTGATGCCTGTTCATAACTATTTATTATGTCAATTTGGTGGGTTTGATTACTCAATAAATGAAGATAACTACTATACTTGTTGGTTTTCCTCAGAACTATCATCACATATTGACCTGGACTAATAGCTTAAAATTACAATGATACCTACATAAATGAATTTCTCTCACATATTGAGATTAAAGATAGGGAAAAGTAACATTTACCCTTGCTTATTTTAGACACATTAAAAACCACCGTCAATATTAACAATACAGAATATGCGAAGTAGACACCGACAAAACCAGTAGAGAGCTTTTATCCTAAAAATTCATAGTTTTAATAGTTTTTGACATACAAGCGGGGCCCTGCTGTGGACACTGACCCCAGCAGGGCCAGCTATAAACGTTTTACGATAAATAGGGGAGAACAAGCAAAATAAATTTATATATATGTATAACCACAGACCTTAGTTCCGAACTTCCGACCCAATAAAGTGTAGTTTAGATGTTATTGAACCAAAAATTGCCTTTATCGCGTAATTCTATATAGTATTATCCTACAAGACGTTAAGTTGTCTTGCGACTCTTTGAGCTGCAGGTGTCCAGGGGCGACAGTTCGTCACTGACCCTGGCAGGGCCACAACCATGGATTTTAATTTTGATCACACGAAAATTGACAAACGCAAATTGAAAACACGCTATTTGTGGCGACAAATTTCGACTAATAAGCTAAATTTTCGCAAGGTGCCCTACTTTTTGACATGCAAACCTAGCCCTGCTGGGGAGACTGACTCCAGCAGGGCCCCCTATAAACGATTATTATAGCTTAATCACGGTCACTAGGACCGACATATTCTGATATTGGGCCACAAATTAGCGACTAAATTTCTGTGTTATCAAAATTAAAATCCATGATGATACCCCCTTATACCATGAAATAAATCAGGTATTAATAATAGCTACAGTGGGCATAATGCGATATTTTTATACTTAGAACTTCTTAACCATTACCACTACGGGAATACGTGCACATTATTTGAGTGAATAAGTGCGAGTCCAAGAGTGTGTAATATTATCGATATCGGTATCGACCAACCGATAGTCTTTCAATAGTTAGCTGATAGCTAGGATACAGCGACATCATGATTCATACTAAACACGCTATTATCGTTAGAGATTTCTGAATCATCCGGTTCTTTTAATGAGTGAACCCGAAAGCGATGTCTACCTACTACATACAAAACCTTGATCGTAGATCTAACACATTAGCACCTGCTGCTGTTTGTACATTTTTATAAATGTCAGCTTTAAAATAATACTAATAAACTCACTTACATAAGACAGGCACGCGCTGTGCTATGCCTCGTTGACCTCGGTCAATTTGTAGGACATTGTATTTGGGTGCTGGGTCAAACCGACTAGACGGATAGATTTTCTTTAAATACCTACACTGTACCTAAGTTTCTATGTGTATACTGGCGCAGTAATGAGGCTTTTCAATTACTAAGTCAGTCGGAAGACTCGGCAGTTATTGGCTATTCCAATAAGTAGACCTATGGAAAAGAACATGCAAGATATCCCAAGGATACTGTTTTACATGTTTATTTTTGAAAGTTACTTGTTTTAATTTCATATTGCTTCTAAGCGAAATATTCATAAAAAAATTACTTTATTTGTTAAGCCCTTTCTTTCGGAATAATTCTTACAGTTTAGCAATTATTGTACTGTACGTGGCTAGTGGCAAAATATATTTATCAACATTGGTTACTAAATATTATTAACAGTAACTTGCCAATTTCAAGTACAAATTGGTTCAAAACGCTGTAAACGTATCTTTCGTATTGTATGCACCTTACAATCCAATGAGGAGCTGCTCAGTCTTTCAAAGCGATGTATACAGCTATTGTTTAGCAATGATGTAAACAAATACGACAAAACGCGTGAATGTTAGTTTACTTAAGCCAACGGCAACAATATTTTATAATTTATATTTAGAAGAACCATATAAACAGTACCTAATACAGAATCAGAATCATTTATTTGTAAACATAGGTCAAAGTACAATAGAGTGTGAGATGTTATGGATAGGCAAGTCCTCTATGTTTTGCCCAGGGGCGTACAAATACTCGTATACACATTTTTACACATTTTACACATTTTCAAATATACACTTTTTCATATATCATAAATTTGTAGGATTATTTAAACTTCCACATTATTAATAACGTCAATGATAATAATTAATAATCACATGCATGTCAAAATAAATAAAAAATACAGTCAATTTTAATAAATGTCAAACAAATTAATTTAATGTCAATTCAAAATCAGGATAGTCGAGGTATTGTACAATTTTCTGAAGCAGTAATTATAGAATTGTCGTCCAAATAGTCCTTTAGTGAGTAATAGCACTTACTTATCAAGATTTTTAATACTTCTCTTTTAAAATTGGCCAGAGTTAGCGTTTTAATTTTTTCAGGTAATTTGTTGAATATTTTGGTGGCCGTATCAGAAGGTACTTTTATTCATTAGTGCAGTTTTGCCATATGTCACTTGGAGTTCCGACTTATTTTTATCTCGTAGTTTTCTGTAGTAACTTTTAGTTGCTAGTTTGTATGATGAGATGTTGGATTTCACGAACATATTTGTTTCGTATATGTACAGAGATGGCAAGGTAAGAATTTTTAGACGTATGAAATACGGTCGACAACTGTCGGTGCTTTTTAGACCACACATAGCTCTGACACATCTTTTTTGGGCTTTGAATACAAGTTCTCTATCAACTGAATTGCCCCAGTATATTACGCCATATCTCAGTGTTGATGCAGCGTAACCGTGATAGGCCATTAGTACGGATTCTAGGCTTAGTATTTTTGATAGTTCATAAAGAACATAGGCAAATTTATTTAGTTTTTTACATACTTCGTCTGTCTGGGATTTCCAGGTCAAATTATTGTCTATATTAATACCAAGAAATTTAGTAGTAGTATTTGATTCTATTTTTGTCCCTAAATAGCTAATGTCAACGATTTTATTTGGTGTCCTTTGATGAAAATGCATAATTTTAGTTTTTTCTAAATTTATAATTAGATTATTATTTGCAAACCATGATATAATTCTATTTAATGTTGTATTTATTTCTTTTTCATAAGTATTGGGATCATCACACTTAATCACTACAGTGCTATCATCGGCGAACAGAACCATGGGGTGGTTTATTTGCCCAGGAAGGTATACTCGTATATTTGTTGCTTTTGTTCGTATAGCTTTTGCCTGGGGCCACGCCCACGTGTATGTCGGTTATCGTGGTAAAAAGTAGCCTATGTCCTTTATCAAAAATTAAACTACATTTCTCATTACCAAATTTCATCAGAATCAGTTCAACGGTTATTGATTCCCCATACAAACTTCCACCATCCTTTTCACCCCCTTAAAGGACGATTTTAACAAATATAGGAGTGTTTAAAATGAATTCTGATGGGCTTGGAATATGATCGGTTCAAAAAAATGCAAATAGTGAAGGTATAAGTAAAACCTACTTGTGTTGGCATTCGGTACGATCTTACCGAATGCGTTGGCATTGCACAAGTAGGAGATTTATTAGAGAGCCACGGGGGGCTCGTATAATAGGAGTGTCACATTCCAAGTTAATTGACTTAGATTTCAACAAGAAACAAGGCAAACCTTGGCTTCTTCTTGGACATCAGTACTCGTCTACCTTTTACCTTTACTATTTGCAGTTTTTATGAACGGCTCATATTCCAAGCCCATCAAAATTCATTCTAAACACTCGTATATTTGTTAAAATCGTATATATATATATTTAACATATATGGTTCGATAACATTTATAGTTAACCACTGCAAGATAAAAGGTAGTGCAAGTTACAAAGTGCAACATCTATTGTAATTTATATTTTATATGCCTTGTTTATTAGAAATAGTTTGTTCAAAAGAAAGCAGAATTTGTACTTAAAGTGTATCAGTACTAAGTAACACTTATTTAAAGCAACGTACATTTTAATAGGGAAGAACAAGACAGTCAAATATCAACTTAGAAATAAAGATCTACAGGTTTTATTTCCATTGTTTATTTAGTTACCTCTTCATTATTAATTATTAGCACGAACATTTTGATATTTATTTTTTTACTTACTTTAATAGCATATTAACAAAACAAATGTAACTTTTAACATCGTAAATCTTTATGAGTTTGAAATACTACATTAATCTTAAGAATAATTTATATTTAATCTTTCATTCATAAACAAGTAATGACTAGGGATCTAAAGCATTTCCAAATAGAAAGGAGTCCAAATGCAAGGCAAATTTTTCTATCTACAAGATAATATTTATCTCAAACAGTAATAGGTGTTGAAGGAACATTATAATATTATACTGCATAGCTCAGTGTAGGAAATATTAATTATAATTTAATTATTAAAATCTGAAGATGGAAATATTATATTTGATAGTGTATCTTCTTGTTATAAGTACGGATAATTGAAGAAAACGTTACGTCTATTAGATAGTCAAATATTAAAATCTCAATTTAACTAACTTGGGTCCTCTTTCCTAATTCGATCCATTCGTCGTAAGTATAAAATATTCTCTCATCAGACCAAAGAATATTGATATATGTGTTTTTGGAAGACAATCAACTATGCTTGTCACATTTTTTTAAGGTATTGATGTGACAATTTGAGCGAGATAGTTGAGAGCTGAGCTTACCTTATTGGACGGGAGTGTAAATATTGATGTAAATACTGATTATACGAAATTGATAATAATTTATCTACGAAACACAATCGAAGAGATGATGAGTCAAACAAAAATGCATTAAATGTCTAAATCACATGTAGCGTTGTGTAACGTTATTGTTAAAATTTCAAAAACTGACAATATTCAATCAATGCAATTGTTTTTAACAAATAATACAGTGCACGAACATCGCCTCAGGTCTGATTAAAAAAATAGTATTAGTAGTCTGGTCTTCATAAATAATGAACTTTTTTTCGTCAGATCTAAACGAACGTAACTATACGATAATTGAAAAAAGGAAAATTAACTCCTGGGACAAAAATAAAGTTTATAATTTTACACTAAATTTATATGACCTCCCAACATTACTAATTTCGCTAAAAATACAGAATATATTTCATACTAGGAAATCAATCGATATGAACTGTAAATTGGGTGAGTTAAGAAAGTTTAATCGAATCTGTTTCATTTAAACAAGAGCACAAGAGCAAGGCAGCAGAACTCAAAAAGCGTTCACAAGATTTTGATAAAGTTGTATGTATTTCAATGGCAAATATCTAACTGTAAGGGCTTGACTAACCACTTCAATTATTTCGCAGTAAAACTAAAGTTACGAAAAATTGATTGCCGTATGAAAATACTTATTCTCATTTCAGGACATTACAATTTAAAGTTAGGCAAGCACTTCGAGTTAACTCCCGTCGTTAATTCTTTGGAACAGATGAGCCTAACCTATTAAAAGAATCATAATGATAGAATCATAGCAGTAGCTGCAATTAAAAATATGTCAAAGATTCTTTGTTCAGCGCCGGAGCCGTAATTGCAAAGAGAAGTAGTGCAGCATGATGTGCAGGCGTATAACTTCGTTCTCTCTCCTATAACGATGCAGCCAGGTTCACAGTGCTTGGTGCAGTTGCGTTCGAGGGCCCACATTTTAGGCGGTGTCGTAGAATTTTCAGTGGACGTAGTGAATGAGAATCGTTTGACCTGTAAAGTATAAAAATATGTACCTGATTAAATATATCTTTTACCAGTTTTACTAACAAGAACACTTCTTATATGATTGCAAGCAACAGCCTTTAATTGTCCACTGCAGTGCCGGCATAGGCCTCTCCTTAGAGACTCGCAAAATCTAAAGAAGAATTTTTTGCTAACTTATTAACTATGGAGTTCACAGGAACCTGCTCACTAGCAAAAGTATTACACTTCTATACACAAGTAGAGGTGTCGTTTTCTGTGTTGCTCTACGTCGTGCACGAGTATGCTGTGTCCTAAACAGTAATTTCTTGTGCCTTAAATTATTTAAAGTAAATGAGTGCAAGAGGCACTGTAAAAAGAGAGTCTGTTGATAAAAAGTGGCCCCTTACCTCTGATGCACCACACTAGATCCATTATGGATTACACACATTTTTGTGTTTCTTCGTTTAAATGTTAAAGTAAGCGCCATAGGAATAACGCTTAGTTCGGGATTTTACTATTTTTAATGAGTAAGATCTCCAATATTCATTTATAAATAGTAAATACAAATTTGTATTGTTGCTTGTTCAAAATAAACGTAAAGGTACTAAAAACGAATAATCATGTTAAGAAATGTAATTCGACGGTGAACGGGTCAAGGCGAGTCTAAACTCGCAAGTTTCCTTTAGGCAACCTCTACTAAGTGGTTTGTGACATTATATTAACTTAAGGTACAAGTGTTGAAATCGTTACAAACAAACAAGCTTACACTTTTATATTTATAATAATATTTTACATTTATAATGTTATTAATATTGAAAGAGATTTAGAAATAATCATTTCTGAGATAAAATTGATTGTTTACCATGCACATCCTCCTATCATTGTGACATTTGTGGATGAGAGCAGAGTTATTGTGCCGAAGGTCTGCACAGCGGTCGTCAGGCACGTCTGCTAGACACTTGTAACACCATAACTCATTGTTAGGCCTTGCTGCTGCCGACGTCACATGAACGCTGTCCCTTAGTAGATCGCATTCACCTTCTGGAATAAAGAAAAAAATAACTTTACTTAGCAAAAGATATTTCATAATAAAGAGAAAAACCAGAAATATGTAAGCCTGCCTCGTGCAACGAGGCTCTGTACAAACATATATTTAAATAGTTCGCCACTCTTGGGTATCGATTCTTAAAGACTACGTACGTTTTCTTACGATTGATAAAGTTTTCTTTACCATCCTAAGTTTTTTCCATACACCGACATACAACACAATTAAATTTTCTTTGATTTTACCTTTTAAGAAACGAAACCCTAATAATTGATATATTCGATGCAAGATATTTTTAAACTAAACATCATAAAATGAATCAGTCTTATAATCGAACACTACTTTATTATTAGTGTGTTATAATTATACTTATGTACGTATTTATCAAATTATTTGTTTCGGTAAAATTTAATTATTTTAATTTTAACGCACACTTGCAACTATTGCGTTGCAGTGCAAATCTGACGATAAATCATTACGCCGAAGTAACCGTTTCACATAGTGTATGGCACTTTATGAAGTGCCACAAAATAAATCTAGGTTAAACGCTATTTTTGTCTGTATTTAAATTAACGGTTTCCAACAGTTGAATACGGAGTTCTAGAATAGATAACATCTAATTGAATAGTGTGTGGAGAGAGTTCTTTGGAAAAGTTGGCAAAACAAATTTTTAAATAATGTGCTATACATTTTTAAAAAATCATAAAAAGGCTACATTGACACGTACACATTGTAACAAACACGTGTCCAGTATATATGTAGGTCTATACAAGTCATTGAAATTAAACAAAATACTGCAAATTAAATAAATTAAGGTAGAAATCCAAGAAGCATGCGATTACGGTTATATTTACGAGTATAGTATAAAAAGAAGGCCATTCTTCTGTCGGTATGATATATGACTCATAAAAGCATAGTTCCTGCACATTTAAATGTAGGCTCCTGTTTGGTTATAGAAAAACTTATTTTAGTACCACATTAGTTCATAAGAATTTACTTAATTTTTTACTTAGTCGTAACAATAGATTTTGTATCAAAGCATTTTCAGTCTGTTGCCTGAAAATGCTTTGAAACAAAATCTATGCTTTCTAGCACTAACAAAATCAGCACAATAATATTTAGGTATGTTCATACAGAATATACCTAAATATTTTAATATTAAAAAAAAATGTAACGGTGATGTTTAAGGGACATGTGGATACAAATAAATACTTGATTCCTATGACAAATAGTCTCATATTGAAAAATCCGTAATTGAGACAAGTGAAATACAGTTCTTTAATGAAATGTCCATGTAAATTATATAAATATGTACATTTACATCATATGTTCCTTTTTAAAATAAATATTACAAGTCAGTGCTGATGAAAAATAATAACGATCTACAAATTACATTAACAACAAACAATATTAAACAAACTATTAATGTTCGTTAATACATAAACATATATTACTTCGACTAACATGAATAAGATTTTATAGAATGTGGATACATAATATTAAAAAAAACTAATTCTTCAATCAAAACAAAGAGGAATCGGAACATAGACAACGGCTTACTTTGACATTTGAGGGTTAAGACTGAAGTCATTCTTAAGACCGCAACTAAAATCCGAACATTATAAAAGCACTTTTCACTGTTATCTATTATTAGTTGAAAGCGAAGGTTAATAGGTATAATAAACTTTATTAGACATACCTGGCGAGAAAAATGACAAGCAGAGAAGTATTAGAGAACGCATGGTGTTTGTAATGCATTGTGCGCATGTCCCAGCATCCGAATATTGATCTGTCTGGAGCAGACCTGTTGCTGTTCCCAGTAGGCCCCGCCCATACTTCCACATCCCCCCTCAGGCCTTCACCGAAACACTTTGATGAAGCAAAACAATCTCAACTTTGTAAATTCTTTGGAAAATTCAAACTTTTCATCGGTTGTTACAGGGTCGTGCACTACTTGAAAGATAAAGTATAATAATATTAATTATTATAAGAACAAGCGACTTAGTGTACCGTGAAAGCTTATTTTTAACCGACTTCAAAAAAAGGAGGAGGTTCTCAATTCGACTGTATTGTTTTTTTTTTTTTTAATGGGAATAGTTAAGAAATAATAAGATGATTTTAAATAAAGTACCGAGAAAGATATGAAGGCTTACTACACGATTACAGATTATTTAGATGATAAAGCTTGGGATTGGTGCTGCTCACTCCCACATTTACGTTCCTATCATTGATGTAATGTTTGTGAGTGATAGACATATTTTTTTATGAATTTTGTATTTTGTTTGTTTATTTTTCGTTTAATTTGAATTGTATAGTACATTTCTTTTGTGTAAGTATGTAAATGTAAGTGTGGGTTTGTAATGTTCATTTATATTTTAGTGGGTTTCTGGTGGTTTTGAGTGTTTCCACGGCCTACCCAAATGTCCTACTGGCGGTAGTGTTGTGCTATCGGTTAAGATACACGATGGCTGGGGCCTGTATGCTGTCTGTATGGAGAGGCCTACCCAAAACTATGGTTCTTTCTTCAAAAGGCCAACCCAGACCCTATACTGTACTCCCACAGTTTTATTAAACTTTGTTTACGGACTAAAAAAAAGACACCTCTGTGGTTTGTTTCGCCGTTTCTTCCCCGAGTAGGTAAGTTTTAGGAAATGCCGTCTCCTTCTAGCTGTAAAGTGCGACTTGTAAAAATATCTGAAAAGATTTACTTACAGAAATTCAAATTCAAAATATCTTTATTTCATAAAAAAATCATTTGAAATCGCCTTTTATATAGACTCCAAAGTAGTAAATCAACAACGAACACACAATAGCAACAGTTTCTGTTTTGTCAATAGCAAGCAAAATAAATTTAATAAAAATAAAAATTAAACTCATACAAAATCTAAGATATGCCTGTGCCGAGCTACAACCGCCCGTTTCCAAGGGGTTGAGCCTTGTGAGAAGAAAGGGCAAACAAACTCCTGGTTACTCTTTTGCAGTTTTCAGATAAATACAATTACATAATTAATTATACCACATAAGAAAGAAAAAGAAAAAAAAGAAAGAAAGAACTAAGAGGTAAAAAGACAATAAAGAGAAAAATAAGATTAGGAAAAAAAAGCAAATAAAAGAGAAAGTAAAGTGAAACATCAAAAATAGAAAAAAAAGAAACACACCAGCCCACACCACATTTTTACTTAAGAAATGCGCTAATTAATCCCAAGCATTTTTGTTTTCTATGTAATCCACAATTGAGTAATGGACCCTGTGGCAAAATCCATGTTTTATTACGGATTTAAATTTGTTAATACTTAAGCCTTGAATATTATTTGGGATTTTATGATAAAGTCGGACACATTGACCAGGAAAAGACTTGTTTTTCTTTTGCAGCATAGAGGCGGGTACTATAAGTTTATTTATATTTCTGGTATTAATAGAATGTACATCACTTCTTTTCAAAAAGCTATCTTTGTATTTATGAACATATATTACATTTTCATATATATACTAGCTTGCCACTGTCATTATGTTTATTTCTTATAATTTCTGCCTCAATGAACAACGGTTGCCTAAATTATAAAGTGCTCGAATAGCTCTCTTTTGCAGTACAAAAATAGTTTGAATTATTTAAATGTAATAGAATACCGTACGACATTATGCTATGAAAATAATTCAAGTAAACAAGTCGTGCTGTATCAGTCAACTCTCGATTTTTTTTTCTGAGTGTGCTGCTAAGCTGAGTCTTCTCGATTATTTATCAATATGTGGGCCCCACTGTAGCTTAGAATCTAGAGTTATACCTAAAAATGTTGTAGTGTCCACAAGGTCTAATCCGACATCCTTAATCATCACAGTAGTTTTCACTGGCTTGACATTTGGCATAGTGAAACGTATACACTTCGTTTTTTGTTCATTTAAAAGGGAATTGTTGACGTCAATCACTTTAATAGTTTTACACTTTAGTAATACTACCAGATTTGCATAAGTGAATAATTTTAGTAGACTTCATAAGATCAGGAAATACACCAGTATCAACACATTGATAAAATGTAAATGACGATTAATTAGCCACAAAATATATGTCTTCATAATTAATACAGAATTTCCCCAAAGTTATTATTTAATAGCATTAATAGTGTTAATGGCATTAATAATTTCAAAAATATATATCATTTATCTTTAATAAACGCATAGTATCATAGTTTTTTATTTGTAGTTAAGAACAGGGATGGTTTGAGACGGGCACGCCGTTATTGCGGCGGTAAGACCCGTTATGGAGGATTGGCTCGAGAGGCGTCACGGAACCCTCTCATACCGGCTGACGTAGGTGATCACCGGGAAAGGTTGTTTCAGAGATTACCTGTGTCTGATTCGCAAGGAGCCAACGCCTGAGTGCCACAACTGCGATGGCCGAACCGTGGACAGGGCCCTCCGCACGTTGGCAAAATTCCCGGCGTGGGTGGAGCAGAGGTAGTAGTAGTAGTAGTATGATTGCCGCCATGGTACGAAGCAAGAGTGCGTAGAACTTCGCCGTCTCCTTCTGCGAGCAAGTTATGCTTGCGAAGAAAATGGCGGTGTGGGACCGGGAGAGATTTAGAACTCTTCCGGCCCGCCAGGCCCGGAAACGGGCCTGGTACCGCAGACGACTCGGGCGCCGGAGGTCGCAGAACGACCTCCGTCCTCCATAAGCGCAGGCCTGGGGGTGACAGGTGAGGCCATCTGTCACCCTAGCAGAAGCAGGCCGGAGTGGCGGCCTTTTTGCGGGAACATGGGGGTTGCCACACAGGAGGGGGTCATCTTCACGCCGTGGATGGCACGAGGTACGTCGGGGTACCAGGGATTTTCTTTCTAGGGTACTCCTGGTTCCCCGGCTACTGGTACCCGAGATGGCGTGCGATTTTTGGTCGGTTCGAGTCCGACATAATCACCCCACCGGTGGGTTATATCCGAGGGGATTTCCGCACAGGAAAAAAAGGTGATGGTTTGAGAATCAACTTGATGAGATAGAGGTTCAAAGATTTGGGATTGTTTGCAATTCATTGCGGTATTATTTATAGTCATCAGTAACCGTCCTTCAAAATAGGGGGGTTCTATGTTTATACTACTATGTAAGTTTATTTATTTATTTGGCAACTTAACAGCTATGTTACATATATCATGGGTGAAGTTAAACTTTTTTTAGACTCTTAGCCAATAATAAAGTAAAAGAAAATTGCGTGCACCACTTAAACATAGGCAATTGTACGTATTATATACTATCTATAATTTAATTTATATTAGGTATATTGTGCAGAGTGAGAAGTATTCCAAAAGAAAGCAACTTACAAAAACAATCTTAATTTGGACTCACAAGTATGAATGCAACTTTTTAGTTATTTACAACGTAGTTGTAACATAAATTACACTTTTGTAATTAGGGTTTCTTATGCAAAAAGTGCCAATGGATGGCTCTGCTGTCTGTTTGGCTGTGTCTTAGTGACGTGATAGGTGGATAGGCAAAAATTACGATAACAAATAACAAAATTAAAGTCGAGTCGTTAAGTTTTATTCGATCTTAATAATTGCTATTATTCATGAACTGTGATGAGAGACACATTAAAACTTTAATATTTTTAAACAAGAAATGAAATATTCAAAATAGAATAAGGTTTAAATTTAAAGAGCATTCTCCCATTTGATATCAATAATGACTGTATCTTTTGGACCGTGGTAAGTAGATATTTGAAAATTGCAATTTTTAGTCTATTTAATAACGAAGAATAAAAATAGTAAAATAAGTTAAAAACAAAGCTGTTTAATACCGGCAACAGGTAAGTGCTCGAAATGTTCACATTGTGTTACTACAAAAAATATATTAACATAATATCTTTGTCACCTTCATCATCATCAAGAGCTATTAATAGTCGATTGCTGGACGTAGGCCTCTCCTTAGAAAGGAGGTTTTGGTCTATTATACCAGGCCAGACGGAATAGTATAGGGTTAGTTTCAATATTTCCTTCTGTTTGCAATGCTGTTGTACTGCGTAGTTTGCTCCCTTAATCGACTCTTACGATACCCATGGTATGAACAGGGGTGGTGACACTCCGTATTCGTATTAATATCATTGAGTCTCTCTTTATTGTTTAAAAAATGTACAACTGTACTTGTGTAGCTTGCACGTATGTATATCTAGTATGGCGTTTGGCCGACATACCATAGCCATTGGAACCACAGACGATAAAAAGTAAACGGAAACGCCACGAATCGATAGCTTTTATTCCGAAGTACCTTTGTACCTACGATATATATATAATTAACGAATGTTTAGCTTTCCAGAACTGTATTACGTATCAAGGATTGAAAATTGTTCGTTACAATCATCTATCATTCCAAATGCTACAATCATCCTAAAAGAGTTAAAACAGTGTTTTAGATGCAGAATGTCTTATCCTCAATGATAACTTTAAGAGCCATTGTTTTTTTAATTAAGCTTGATATTGATTCAAATGGTTTATAGAGTTTGGCAAACGACATACATATATTCACGAAGTTTCGGGTTCCCAAGCTAGCCTAAAGTACTACTACAAGCTAGAAAGTCAATAAATACGACATTATATGTTATTTAATGTTTTTACAAATGGGTAACATAGGTGGATGGGGCTTTAAGAACCCGTCGTGTTTACAGAGGGCCCCAGATAGTGAGGTCATTTCCTTGAGTATACAGACCCGAAACTCACAACTGATTCTTGTGTGAATACAATTATTGATGTTTCATATTAC